ACACACACACACCTACACACACACCCCACACCTACACACACACACCTACACACACACCACACATACACACACACACCTACACACACACACACACCTACACACACACACACACACACACACACACACACACACACACACACACACACGTTATTGGCCGTAATTGAACCACATGGCCGTTCTTGAATCTATTACTGACAGGGGATGGCATTACACAGACTAATTAGGCTATTCCTTGGAAGTGTAATCAGCCCTTCTTGGGCTTATGCCTAGGTGGGAGGAAAGGAAAAAAAAAGGAAGAAAGAAGGAAGACACTTTGTGCAATAAGCAATCAACAGCATTCACTGTATTTAAAACGTAAAATCTTTAGTACCATATCCTACTAGTGGATTTGACATTGAATCTTTTCATCATGAAAACAGTCTCACCTTGAGAAACATTGGTCATTTCCCTAATTATAGGAGAATGCCTCTGGAGGCATTTAAAACACAGTTAAAGAAGGCAAGTACACAGGCTTCTATTTTTGGTGTACTTTACCACCAAAAGAAACTTCACCTTTTCCTGAAAGTGATAGGCTGTATTCACTACCAGACAGACAACAGCAGTGAGTGACCTGTGTTGCAACAAACCCATGTCAGAGAGGAGCTGTCACCACCATGCAGGGCTTGGATTCTCTCCCCATCCCTTCCTCCACTTGGAAGTTGCCCTTCAGCATTATGCCTGGGTGTGCTTGCCAACTTTCTGCATCATGACACAAAGACATTGCTGGCTAGGATCATTGTGGCCTGAGGAACAGCGAGCGTGAAGCCAGCCAGGCTTCCATGAAATGCACACTGTTTGCAGAATGGCCGGGCCGTTTTGAAAGTTCCCTTTATGAAAGGCTAGCATAAAGTCAACAGCCCACAGTTGCTCAAATCCGTGCTTTGGTTTCATTACCACGGCAGACCACTTCCCTGCTCAGGAGAATTATAGTTAAGTTGTGTTTTTAACTATGTCCCTAGGGGAGTGTTGAGTAAGATGAAAAACAGGCTGGGCCACCGATAAATCATTTCTGGAAAAGGAGGCATTTCAGGAAAATTAAACAAAGCATAGAAAAGCCTTAGTTTGCACTTTGTTGTTACAGAATTGAGTGATAGCTTTCCTCTGTACTTAGACTAATCCTGAGCAGGAAGCTCCAAACGGGGGAAAATCCTGTCCAGAGTACAGAAGAGAGAGCAGACGATCATTGTCCTTTTAAACAAAACTTCAGTGGCTAGTTCTTTAACCCTTTCCACCTGCTCTGATAATTGGTAGAAGTTCTATAATGATGACCTGATACCTCCACAAGGGTGGAACACAAGTTTTCAAAGGTGTTCCAAAACTCAGCTACTTTCCAAAACAGTTACCTTCCCTTGTGCCCTGGCTACAATGTGCAGGTAAATTGCTCTCCCTGGAATCTTTGAGGAAGATAAGGAGCATGGGAAAGCAGCGCATGTAGCTCCTTCAGACTATGTTAGGAAATGCTTGCTGTGGGTTGAAAGTCATACTTCTCCTGTGGGCCCTTGTGATTTTAGAGTGGTAAATTGTGTTGTGGTCTTTCTAACTTTTCTTTGGTACACAAATCCAGCACCCTGCTGTCTACTAATTGCTGCTGTCATACCATCCCACAACAATGTCAGCCCAAATTCATTCCCCGAGCTCATTTCTGGCTGCCTCCATAGCAACCATCTGAGGACATTATATGACTTTTCCCCTGAGCCCATGATGAACAAAAGCACATTGTCATTTCTTTTATTTTTAACAATTGCCTATCCCACATGTTAAGGAACTGGACAGAATTCAGAAAGTATTTTTCATCTGGAAAGACAAATAATCAACCAGGTCAAAGGTTAGGTCTGTTCCTTTAAATGCCTTACTGACATTATCTTACTTTGAAGACTTATTCCTGTTGTTCACCTCGAATAAATCTCTCTGTTCTCTCAGCTTCTATTCTATACTTCGCAAAATATTGACAGGATGGGTACATTATTATTTTTAAAATAGTATTTTTTTAATTCTTTGAGAACTTTATACCATATATTTTTGTTATATTGCTCCGCCAGCTTTTCCCATATCCATTCTCTCTACCCTAGCCTCCCTACCCACTCAACTTTTGGGTTTTCTACCCATCCTTGTCCACATTGAGTCCAGTGTATGTTGCTCAACTATCTTGGGAGAGAGGCGTGCCCTGGAGTAGGGTTTACCTACCTGGAGTCACTTCCCCAAAGAAAGTTCACTCTCCCTCTCCCAGAAGCGAATAGCTCTTCATCTAGTGGTGGGATTGAGTCTGGTTGGAGCTTGTGCAAGCCTTGCGCATGCTGTCAAGTTCTGTAACTGCCCTGGTGGGTCTGGAAACTACTGTAGCTGAAGTCATCCTCCACCTCTGGCTCTCCCGATCCTTCCACACCATCATTAGTGTCCGTCCCTGAACCTTGCGGGGAGGGGTATGATACAGACCTCCCATTTAGGGCTGAGCTCTCCAGTCTCTCACTCTTCATATTGACCTGTTGTAGGTCTCTGTCAACTGCCATTGACTGCAAGAAGAAGCTTCTCTGATGAGAGTTGAGAGATGCACTGGTCTGTGGGCACAGCAGAAAGTCATTTTAATACCCAGTCCATTTAACAGGATAATAGTACTAGGTTCTCCCATAGGGCCCATGACCTACTTAGCCACAGCTCTTGGCCCTGTAAATAGTGCCAGGAATGGGTTCCATCTCATGGAGTGGGCCTTAGGTCTGATCAGAAGCTGATTGGTTGTGAGTACATTTTTAGATCAGAAGGGGATTCGGTAAGCATGGATATATATGACTAAATAATCGTTTTGATACAGAGATTTGAGAATAATTTAAAATTTCAAAATCTCCTTGGCAGGGCATTAATTCTATGAGGTAAATGCTGTTATTTAGCTCGTGTGGCTGTTGAGAAAGCATACAGCAAATAAGTAATACAGGCAGGACTCGAACCCAGGCAGTCTCCCCACTGCTGTTCTCCGAGAGGAGCCTGGCATAGAACAGAGCTCACTGTACAGAAGGACTCTGCCTGACCCTGATGTTTTCTGAGTTCTTTCAGTGGCAAGAAGCTTTATTCATTTCCATTGTGCTCAAATTAGCTTTGGATTATTTTATCCACACAAAATGCCAGAAACAGCCCAGATTGTCCTCATTGCGGGCTATCATGTCTCCTGTCACTTGTTTGCGAGAAGGGTTCTGCTTGGCCTCAGCTACTCTTAGGTGAAGTCATCTTAGGAAAAGTGAAGAGCCACAGAGGCAGAGCTTTGTAAAATGACAAGCGCTGCAAGAATTCATTTTACAGCCGCACGTTCTTTACTCTCCTAATTTCTGTTTGCTGAAAACAAGAACGGTAATAGAAAACACTTCTTTTTGTTTGTTTGTTTGTTTTGGTTTTTCAAGACAGGATGTCTCTGTGTAGCTTTGCATCTTTCCTGGATCTCGTTCTGTAGACCAGGAGGGCCTCGAACTCACAGAGATCCGCCTGCCTCTGCCTCCCAAGTGCTGGGATTAAAAGTGTGCACCACCACCACCACCACCACCACCACCCAGCTTAGAAAACACTTCTTTAGAAATACAACTATCTACCAGGCAGTGGTGTTGTACAGACTTAGAAAGTGCTTTATGTGTGTATGTCGTATCCAAAGCATAACCACACAAAAATGAATGAATGGAAGATGCGGCTTTTCAATGCATATCTTATGTAGATCAAAAGAATAGAAAAGACTAAAGTGCAGATTCCATTACAAACTTCATGTTGGCTCTGTGCGCATGAGTCTGGTGTGTGTGTGTGTGTGTGTGTGTGTGTGTGTGTGTGTGTTCAGGCACATGTGTATGTACGTGTTTGCATGCATGGAGTCCAGTGTGTAAATATTGGATATCTTTCTCAATCATCAATCATTTTTTCAACTTCTTTCCTTCCTTCCTTCCTTCCTTCCTTCCTTCCTTCCTTCCTTCCTTCCTTCCTTCCTTCCTTCCTTTCTTTCTTTCTTTCCTTCTTCTTCTTCTTCTTCTTTTTTTTTTTTTTTGAGACAGGGTTTCTCTGTGTAGATTTGGATGTCCTAGAACTCACTCTGTAGACCAGGCTGGTCTCGAACTCATAGAGATCTGTCTTCCTCTGCTTCCTGAGTGCTGGGATTAAAGGCGTGCACCACCACTGCCCAGCTTCACCTTATTTCTTAAGGCAGAGCTTCTCACTGAACCTGGAGCTCACTAATTCAGCTAGACTAGCTTTCTAGGAGGCCTCAGGGATCTTTCTGTCTCAGCCTCCCCGGCCCTAGGATCACACGTGTGTGCTGCTGCGTCTGGGTTTTTCACATGGCTGCTGGGGATGCGTGCTTAGGTCCTCACACTTGTATGGAAGTACATGTTCCCCAGTCATGTTCCCAGCCTTTTATGGTGGCTTTTAAATGGTGGGTTTCCAGGCAGTCTAAATAGTGACCCTGCAGAGCCAATAAAAGTCTTTCTGAGGAGAAAACCAGAGCAAGAAGAGAGCTGGAAGTAGGCTTGTAGCTGACAGGGTGGCAGGGAGAAACGCGGTCAGGGAAGAGGAGCCTTCTCATCTCATGAAAAGAAGAACTGAAGTGAAAGTCTCCACATGGTGGAAAGATGACAGACTTCCTAGGTTCTAGGGTTTGGCTGTGAGTTCTGAGCAACAGAAACAGGAAGGAAGGGGCTCTGCACTGCATTTGGCTTCTTAGGAAACCTCGAGACGGGACACAGGCGAAGCCCAGTCTTCTCCCGCCTCCCCGTCTTCCTCATGGAATCTTGAAACATGTTGAGTTTTCCGGAAAAGAAATGGAAATTTCCAGCACCCAAAGGTAAAGAGAAAAATGACCACCACCCAAATAGAAGGTTCTGGGTGGCAGAGACCTGTCTGGCCTCTTTTGTGAGAACCTGGAGCACGAAGTTGCTCAGGGAAGATCCGTCGAACAAACACTGCTGGGCCCCATTATTGAGAGCAGTCAGAGAAATAATTGGGATTTTTTTTTCTACTTTTCATATGAACAATGATGACAGAAAAGAAGGACAAGAAGGAGGAGAGAAAGTGCGAGAGCAAGAGAGAGAGAGAGAGAGAGAGAGAGAGAGAGAGAGAGAGGAAAGAGGAGGAAGGGGAGGAGGGGGAGGAGCAGAATGGGAAGACAGATCACTCCTCATCTGTTATGACAACTGAGTTATTTTTGTTCATATCTATTTTGTGTTTGTGACTTCTTGCAAGAAGATGTCAGATGACTATGATGAAATAGTCATGTGCTTTATGTGGTGTACGTGTGTGTGTGTGTGTGTGTGTGTGTGTGTGTGTGTGTGTGTGTGCCTGTTCTGATTGACATAGCTCTATCATGTCATGCGGCTGTGTCTGTGTTTGAGGTTGACTTTAATTAATTCTTCAGCTCCGCTCAAATGGCTTTCCTACTTCTCCCAATTCAGTAGTAAGTATTTAAAGTTATAAGAAGCAGGATCAGCTCACAAACAAAACAGCCCATCCCTGCCTAATAACATAGCTTAGTAATAATAAGAGCAAGACAATCTGGGAAGGCCACTCCCCTTCAGAAATCTTAGGTCATCTAAATTGGGAGTTGGTAATCTTGTAAACAAATTCAAATTACCTTCCAGCAAAACCCCAAACTACTTGTTTGAGATGGTTTTTGGCTAAGAAGATGCAAATCCAGATCAAAATCAAAAGCCACATACATACTAAAATAGCCAAAACAGAAACACAGTCATTACAGGAAACTCATGAAGCTTCAAAGCAGGTTTAAAAAAGGAAAAGCTGCAGCCAGAGGAGCCGGTGGCATTGCCCGTCTGTACTGGAAATGTCGACATCCTCTGCAGAGGAAGAGGAAGGAGTTGAGGTGCCAGACAAGCAGCTGGACATGACAAAACAGGAAACGGACCGCTGATGACAGCGCAACCACAAACCGGGAAGAGCAGAGCATCAAAGCCACAGGCCCGCGGGAGACTCCGGCAAGGACAAAGTGAGAGCTGCGAGGCTCAGAATCACCGTGAGCCGCACGCACGCGGGCTAGTGGGTAGCCAAGTCTCCGTTCTTCTGTTGAAATGCTCCAGAAAGAGGCTGAGCATTGTTGAGGCCATCCCAGGAATAGTCTCTTGTATTTTGTATCAGATCAAACATTGCTTTAAAGAGAAGCCATTCAAATGTGAGAGGATACTGTTGTCCATGTCTCAGCATGATGCTGGCTAATGGTTACAGGTAATATTTAGTGTATTTGTTCATGGTACTTTATGGGAAATACAACTGAATCCCAAGGTTAAAGGGCTAAGGCAAAACAGTTGTAAGAAATGAATTTAGCAATCTTCTTCCAGCCCGTGCTCTAAGCCCACCACTCCATCCTCCATCCTAAGAATCTCTATAGAGCTGTTAGATGGACGGACAACATCCTTCTGAACATACTTCTGTCTCTTTTCTATTTGCATTTGCTCCACTTAGCAGGATGGCTGTCACTTTCTCTTGCCCACCTTTGCCTGGAGACATAGCAACTATATGCTCAGAATTAAAGAGCAACCTCAGAGCATAGAAGGTCCTCTAGGCTAAGAACTCCTAAGATGGAAGAACACTGAGTGAAGTGGGTCAGTACAGAGAAGAGTCCTTCATTAGAGGAATAAACAGATAACCCCTAAGGAACAGCTTTACTAAACATCTCAGAAAGTCAGTAATGGAATCCTTTGACCAGATGAGGGGCGACCACTAAGCTGTTATTTAAGAGTATAGTAATATCTGGGGGCCAGGCTACCTTACCAATAACCAAACGCAACTATTTCTGCTATTCTTAATTAACAACTTGATGTGGTTAAATGATGTCTTAGTTTGCTTTCTATCGCTGAGATAAATATCATGGCCAAAAGCAACTTGGGGAAGAAAGAGTTGATTTAGCTGACTCTTCCATGTCACAGTCCATCATTGAAAGATCTCAGGACAGGGATCTGGAAGCAGGAATGGAAGCAAAGACCATGGAAGGACACCGTTTGCTGGCTTGCTCTCCAAGACTCCTCAGATTGTTTTCTTACACGACTGAGGACCACCTACCCAGGGTGGCACTGCCCATAGAGTGCTGGGGCCTCCCCCATCCATCATGAATCAAGAAAAGGCCCCACAGACTTCTCATCACTTGCATTTTTCCTTTTTTCCAGATGTCTCTAGGTGGTGTCCAGTTGAATAACAACAGCAAAAACAAACAAACAAACAAAACAAAAACCCAACACAAGCAATGGATTTAAGGTCACATTACATATTTTAAATTTCTCCACATCTTATTTTACCCAGGACAGACTTGGATGCTCCTCAGCTCTGTGTGACATCAGCCGTATCCCTCGGGAATAGCTGCTCCGAACGACAGGGTCTGAAGATACAGGTTCCAGATCCATAGAAAGGCTGACAAATTCTCACGGATAAGATCCACGTACAGTACCAAGGAGAGTTCGTTCAGTGCACAGTGCCATGGAAGTGACAAGTTGGAATGCACATTGTGTGGCCACCATGGAAGGACATTCTTAGTTTTTGAAGAAAATCCAGAAATGTCTTAACATTTTTATGCAGTTGTTTATGTCAAAAT